GGGGGTGTCGGTGCGGCCGGCCGGTAGCGCTGGGTCGGGCCGGGCCTTTCCCGCGAGGCCTTGATCTGGGCTTCCCCGCGAGGGAGTGGGAGCTGTGGGGAGGGGGGCCCGAGGAGGAGCGTGTGTGTGTCCGCCTCCTCCTCCTCGTCTCGCTGGGTCTTTTTGGTGTCCCACGGTGGTGGGGAGGGTCGGGCCGGCGGCTCTGTAGTAACTCGCCAGAGCTTTTTTGCTGTCGAGCCCCTTAGGCGGTGCTTGGTGCCCCGTGTGGCGTTTTTGGCTCTGCCCTCGCCAGGCGTCGGCAGAGCTGGCACTCACCGGGGTAAGGGGGCAACCTCGCCTTTAAAATCCCGCTTACTTTCCTCAGTGACTTCCAGCAACCAGACTGCAGGCCACGTCCTTTGAAAGACGTCTTTTAAAGGTGCTGCTTCTGTTCCTATTTCTATTTAAGGATTTCTGTCCTTTGCTTGAATCTGTCATCTGGCAGTAGGGTGGTTCACTTCTGTATCAAGCCTTGTATGTCAGTTGTTTGATTCACAGCTGTACTTCTGCTGTCTGATCTCTCTGCAAATGCCTGTGACTCTCCCAGCTCTTGACTACACAGCAACTTTCATCTTGCTCTGAAGACTGAGACCTCCTTATGAAAAGTCCTTTTTCCACTCTCTGCCACCTCCTCCTCTTCCAATACATAGACAAGTTATCTCAGTTGCTCTTTCACAAAACCGTTATCGCGGTTTTTAATTCCTATCTTTACTTTTGACCCAAAGGGCTAACATTGTTCCTGCCTGTTGTCACACCTTTTATTGCTTACTTTCTCTGATGGTACAAGCAGTGACTTTTCAAATGCATCTAAATTTTTTTTTAGTTAAAACTTTAGTAAAATTCTTGATTACTTCTTGAAGAGGAAAAAATTGAATACATCTGAATTACTTCTGAATACTTTGCTGAGAAAAATGTTTATGCTGTTATTAGAGGGATGACTTCGCATTATGAGCAATTGTAGATTTTGAAGGTTGACACTGATAGCACTATTTTGTGATATATAATGCTAATGTCAAGAACTTATTTGGTGGTTTTATAGTATAAAACCATTTTGATTCTTATTTTTCTGATAGTTAGAAATGTATTTTTTAACTCTAAATGTGATTAGAGTTTTGTAATAACAAGCTGGCACTTAGAAAATCAGTGCAATTTTTTTCTATGTTATTGTTTGTCTTTTAGGGCTTCATATTATTTCTGGGTTTAATGATTGGCATTTTACAAAGAGAATAGTTCCCATAAGTGTCATTTAAGTTTTTGTGTGTTCTGAAGAGACTTAATTGTCTAATTGTGGTATGTTAGTTCTTTTTAAAAGACTATCACTGGAGACGGGACATATTATGAAAATGGTAAGAAAGAGGCACTAAGACGTATAGTGGGTGAACTGATATGAATCACTAGTTCAGATTAAATCATCAGTCAAGAAGCATTGATTTAAACTTTCAATTTTAGTTTTTCTTTGTATTTTAACTAATTAAGTAATTATTACTGTATGTTGTTTCTCAACATTCAGTAAAATTTAGGTGCCACATTTAATTCTTTTTACAAGTCATAAGGACACAGCATATCTGCACGAGTGCCAGGGCCTTACCACTATTTACTAGAAGCAGAAATAATCCTGAAGAGTTAGTAATTTAGATGACAAAAGTATCTGACTGGAAGTTCTGTCTGGAGGGAAGAGAAGAACCAAGCTAAACAACAAGGACTGCGCATATACGATTCTGGCAGAGGTTAGGGCAGGTAACTTATAGAGCTGAGAGAGTGGAAGCAGCATGGCAAGAATAGTCAGCCCCTCCTGTTCATCCTGATCATGTTGTTGACAAAAACGGGTGTCATCAGCTTGTGAAAGGTGATGGCTGCATGGCAAGCACCCTACTCATCCTTCTGGCAATGTTTGTTTAAATGTATTATTTAACTGGTTTCCTATTGTTTTCATTTCTATATAGTGTCATTTCTTGTTTACCAAAGGAATAGTTTAGTAAAGAGTTTCTTATTTCTGTTTTCTCCACCCAGAGTACACCACAGCATAAACTAATGAACATTAATAATATTCAAAACTAGCATTTGCACACTTAATAATTTTATTAACATTTAATAACCTATCTTTTCCCAGGAATAATTTATATTATTCATCACAGCGTCAGGCTTGGTATGTTAAATAGGCAGTAGACTATTATTTTTATTAGGGACATATTAATGCAATTACATACATATATAGTAATACATGTAGCCGGTGCATTAACATTTAGAAGATATGTGTACCTAAATCAGTATTTAAAGATGTATACAGAAAGTTATTTTGGCATTCTTCTTAACAAAATACTTACATTCTTCTTACTGGAATTGGATTAATTTTCTATGTTCTTTCTTTGCTACTTCACAATTCTTTTCTCTTTTTTTGTTTTGTTTTTTATGATGTCCTGAATCTACTTGGTCTTCTGTTCATTCCTTCATCCTGGCCATTCTTCAAATTCTTACTGTTTTCTGCTGTGACTGTACACAGCCAGCCTATTTCACTCTGGGTGGTTCTACTGAGCGCTGTAATGCTACTTGGATTTCTGTTGGCTATCCTAAAGGCAGACTGTAGCTAATTTCACTTTTGCGCAGGTCTCAAAGTACAGAAGTAAAAGGGAGCAGCGCAGTATTAGGAAGTGTGTGCATTTGAAAGATGGGGTCACAAGACCTATCAAAATTATCCCATGCACTGTGTCGGATATATAAGAATAAGCATTTATTTTTCTAATACACTTACTCAGATTTTCTTGATTGATTGTTCATGTCAGTCTTTGGACCTGGGGTTTCTATCCCTTGATATTCTGTCATGTAGGAATGAAAATTATTTTATGTTTTAATTTTTTTCTGTTCTAGGAAGTAATGCTCTAAGAATGTCATCAGGCATCCAAATAAAACCAAAGACTGCAGTACAGAAAAGCAAGACATCTCCTGTGCCATGTTCTCCAGAACCTGCAATTAAACCACAGCCAAAGCCTAGTGACAAGCTGAATCCTAAAACTATTGATCCGGTATGTATAGGTGGTGGGTTTTGTGTTTGTTTCTTTAAAACAGATCTCTTGTTGGAAGAAAGTTCCTTACTTTATGAAATACATGCAGGACATGCTTCTTCCGCTCCTGTTTTGTAAATTTAAACTAAGCTTTTGTAATTAATCATACATTCCCTAATTTCTAAGCTCAAATGCCTGAGGCGTAATGTATTTATTACTTTTTTTTTTTTAAAAAAAAGGGGGTTTGGTACAATTGTGGCTTGGATGGTAAAGTTTTTATTTTCTATGTACTTTTGCTGTAAAAGGAGATTTAGTGCTTAGAGATAAAAAGGGTTGAGGGTTTTTTTGATATAGTTATAAATTTTGGTACCTGTTGCTTTAGAGGAACTGATCTCAGTTATGCAGTGAAACCAAGAAACATGTAGCATCTTGAAGATCATCAAGACCTCATAAAATCTAGCAAATTAATTGCTAGTGAGAATTCCTTGAAATTCCCAAGTACTGTGAATATGTAATACTCTGGGAAGAATTTGGGCGCTCAAGTGAAGACTGATGAAAGGAGTTGCTTATGTCATGGAAGTCCTGTGCCTGTAGAACTAGCTTTGAGTGGGTGAAGTATAGCTCACTATTGGGCCATATCAGACAATTAGTAATGTCACAGAGGTTTTGGAAAATGAACTAAATGTGGGAGTACTTTGGTAGGTACAAGTCTGTCATAAACAAAGGCTGAATACTTTCATGTGGGCATTATTTTCCTTGAAACCTTTTTGCAAGTAGTACAATGACTTAATTAAGCTAAGAAGTCATCAAATCATGCACACCATTTTAACAATGTTAATGTCAGTTTAAACACTTGAAAGATAATTGAGATTTCATGGTATTTCCTGCTATATGCTTTGTGGTACGATGTTTAGTCTGAGAAGTAGCATTGAATGATCATGCTCATAAGTAATATGTGCATAAGATGCATGTCTATGATAAAAACCAACTTTGTGCAGGCTTTTGTCCTGTGAAGCTCCTAGTTTCCTGCTCCAGTGAGTCCTCCCTGGTTTCTCTCACAGTATGAACCTCCCCAATGTTTTCCAGTGCCCTCATACCATCTTACCTGACATTTGTTGTTTCTCCCACATCTTACCACCTTGCACTTTTGTCTGTACTCAGATTTACTCCAATTCCATCTTGATCTATCTTCTGCATATTACCAATATAACAACAATAAAAGTGTCAGGAAAGTGAGAGGTCCTTAATGTCTTAACGAGAGAACCCGTAAGACTTAAGTGTTAAGATTTGCAAGAGAAAATAGAAAAATAAGGGTATTGCGTCAGGAGACCACTGATTCTACATTATTTACTCCTTTTTCCAACTTTGTAGCTAGACAATTCTGAAAAGCAGTTTTCTGATAAACATACCAAATACAAGTTTTTCACCCCATAGCCACAGTTCTTTTTTTTTTTTGATTAGTTTTAGAATCATAAGTTCATTTTTTGGTAAGCTGCAATTTTAACATATTCAAAATAGTTATCAAACATTACTGTTATAAATAAATAATGATTTATGTTTTGTCCTCACAGTTTGGTGCTCATTCTCGACCACCTTCTGCATTTGCTGCTATATACACTAAAGGTGGCATTCCATGCAGGTGAGTTGGTTTTGTTTATTTTTTTAATAAATATATTATGGTTAGGTGGAATTAAAGAGATTGAAATACATCTATTCATGTTTGGTCTTTTAGTTAGGCTGTTTGATTCCATTAATTTCTGAAAAGTTATTTCTGATATTTAACTCTTTCAAAGCAGAAAGCAATTTTCCATGTCTTTGAAATGGTGTTCTTTTGGTTCTTTTTTTCTGCTGTCTTGGTACTGAAGCGGCATTTTTAAAGATTAGAAATGTATTTGCAGATTTAGTTTGCTAACACTCTTTCATGAAAAAAGTTTATTTCTTCATGTAATGGTGTCTATTCTCCCTACTAACAAAGATAGTAAAATTAATACCATTTTAGTAAGTAGACATCTTGCAGTCTTTTTTTTGTATGGAGTAAGTAGTATGACAACATTTTCTTGAATATTCCAATTCTGTAGTTGTCAGCAATACGAGATGTTAACAAAACTACTTGTAAGCAATAGTTTGTGGTATTTTAACTTTTGTCGATTATGTATTTACCTAGATGATAAGCACTTCAGTGTTTTGTCAAGTGGATGCAGAATTACTTAACAAAAATTTAAGTAATCATTAATGCATTTATATACATCTATAAAATAATCATGAACACATAGCCTTTATCTGTATCTTAGGAGTAACTGATGAATTGCAATATGATTTTTCTTTCAGTTTCAACTGCTTTCACTTACCAATTGGTATTTGAGGAAAATGTTTCTTGCTATTTATCAAAATTCATAACTTTGCAAAGGGAGCATCTTCTGTGTTGGTGTAAGAGGCATCTATAATTTTTATCACTTTTATTTTCTGATTTCTATGTGATTGGGAGCGGAATTTTGAAAACTGCCATATTTGGGAATTATAACAATTGCACTGTTAAATACCATTATACATTTCACTAAGGAGAGCAGTATGTATTGAAATTGTGTATACAACATTATAGTAATATTGCAAACCAATCGGTGATATATTTAAAGTCGTCAGTGTTAGCAATAAATTATATATTATTATATGTCAATTTGTTAAAACTTTATTCTTTATATAGGTTAGTGCATGGCTCAGTTAAGCACAGACTGCAATGGGAATGCCTTCCTGAAACTGTTCCCTTTGATCCTCTTCTTGTAACATTGGCAGAGGTAAACTCAATTTGCTTGCAAAGTTAAGGATACAGGTTTTCCTGATTGCAAATGGCGTTTTGTAACAAGCTAAGCTAGCTAACTTCAACTCACCTACTAGGAAAATATGAAAAAATATTTTGAGGATCTTGTATGAACGAAGATGGTCAAGAACATTGCCATTTGTGGTTCTTTAGTTAGAACATTCTGGGAGAGCTAGGTAGAGCTCTTTTAATCTTTGAGATACTGGCCAAATACAAGACTGCATCTCAGATTCCAAACTGTTGGATTAAATACATCAATCCATTTGTGAATTTGCAGTTCTATTGTAAATAAAATTATTTTGATTCTTTTTCTATATAAAGCCTACCTATTGAAGTAAGAGTGCTCTCCTCAATAAGTTGAACTAGTACAGTGAAAATAGGATCCTGTAAATAAGTGAAAGAGAAATACTATGCATGAAGTTCAGGCTTCTGTTTTCTCAGCATCATCTGTGACATTTGTCACCAAATATGTTTCAGAAGTGTAAATAAATGTTGAATCCAGTGTGGCAGATGGAATAAAGTGCATACTTCAGAGGTGACTTTTTTCTTTTTTTAAGATTAAGCAAAGCTGTGAATTCCTAAAGTAACTTAAAGCTCCTGTTACGAGAAGAAGAAGGTCTTCAGCCATAGAGCTTTAGATCTTTGAGTTCTGCCAGTGCATATTTGTAGCATCTGCAAGTTTTTGGTGTTGCAGAGGGGGGGTGTGGTGGAAGGTGTCTTTCCTTCCATAGTTCACCTTCTGTTTTTATTTTTTTTCCTTCAGGGTATGAAAACCATTTACAAATACAGCCTATTCTTGTTCATGGTCTTGTTGAAAAATTACCTTGGGTAGTTAGATTAAAGGTATTGAATTCCAAATAGTGATGGAATTGTCAGTATTCATAATGTGACTTCTACTATTCAATGTTCTAAAAGAAAAATGAATAAGAATAGCAGAGTTGTACTCAATGGCTCCACATGGTGGAGTTAGTGTATTTTATGTCTTGAACTGGTGTAACAAAATCTAAACATTATCTTGTGGCTATGTGGAACTTTTTTGATGTGTTTTTGTTTAAAAGAAGACTCACTCTTAAGCAACATGTTTTATATTTGCAACAGGGTCTAAGAGAGACAAAACATCCCTATACATTTGTTTCAAAGGAGGGTTTTAAAGAATTGCTTACAGTCGAAGGAGCTGCTGCAAAAGCAATCCCCTTGTTGCCTCGTCTAATTCCAGCGTTAAAGGCTACTTTGGTATGTCTTACTCTTCATGCAGAGATTTTAATCGGCTTCATTTTTTTTTTTTGTTGTTTTTTCTTGTGCTGGTGAAAACTATTAAAAATAGTTAATGTCTATTGCATGGGCTTTTGGTTTGGGGACTGGGGGTGTGGGAATAGTTTATTTTTTTCATGTTAACTCTGCCTTGGATTTATTAGCTAACTATGTCTTTAACTGTAAATTCATATGGGAAACCCCTTGTATAGCTGTATGACAGTAGCTATGGGCAAATTCTGTGGAAATGTTCTATTAAAGATCTGAATATAAGCAGAAGTAAATATATGTATTGGTGGTATCTTCATATATCCACGTAATAACATGCAAAAAACCCATATTCAGGTGAAATAAAATGGATATACGAGAATAAATACTCATCTGTTAACATTAAAAATTTCAAAACATGCTACAAAGATAAAACAATGTGCCAGTGAGGAAGAGGGAAGAATACAGTTAAAATGTTTGAGGTCATATTCTTAATTTTTAAAATATTTTTAACTTTTCTACTCCTTCAGAAAATAAAGTGAGGTAAAAGTATTGGCCTCTAAGGTAATCTCTTTCAGATCTTTTTCAGATCTTTCAGAGCCCTTTTCTGGTTCAAGTACTTGCTGTTCTTTAATTTAGCTGTCTTTCAGTTATGGTTTTACAGAGATGGCTGAAAGTTTGAAAATTCTTTGTGATCTCAGATTAGAGGAGTAATAGAAGATCAAAATTGTGTGTTATCAGTATCTTTGGTTTAGTTTGGAAGACAAAATTAGAAAAAATTATTCTTGTCTATTCTTCCAATTACTGTTATTGATCTGATAATTTTCATTCTTGCACTGTTTTGGTATAAAGTCTTGTTGAACCTTCTACTACACAAGCAGTCAATGACTTCTAGTTAAAAAAAAAAAGCAAAACCATTCGGGGCTCAAATGTCAGAGTGGAAAAATAACTGTTTAAATAAAGGTCAGTATTAGTACAAGAACAAAATAAATTGTCATGAATCAATTTCTCTGCTAAAGGAAGAATGAGATAACTAAACCATTAGAGAACTCAGGTATAGAAGAACCTTCCCATGGGAGTAATAAAGATGACAAAGCATCCTAGAAGTAGATAAGAGCCTGATAATTGCTGGCAGCTGACAAAGCTGTAGGTGGCAGGGGACTAAATTAATTGAGCCAGAAAGTCATTGGCTCCTATGTTTCTCCAACAAAGACAATTTATGAATTACATAGAAATTACCCTGAATTCATTTTATTTGTAACAGAAATGTTGTCTCCCAGTTTCAGCATATCTGTATTTGAAGGGTTCCGTCTAATGCACTATGGAGCACTGAAATTGGTGGTGTAATAAACTGTTTGTTTTCCCTGCCAAATTTTTTATTTCATCAATAATAAATTATTTGGTTCCTTGTCTCAGAAGAAATGCAAGAGTTTCACTGACATTTTGTGGATACTTCTGTTTTCTACTTTAAAAACATACTTCTGGTTTTAAATGTTACCTATAGATACTAATATTCAGTCATATTGTACTTGTATTTCTAAACTTGTTACATTATAACAACAAGCAGTTGCACAGTACTTTTAATTTTAAAAAATACTATATACAATCATAATGTAAAGATTTCAGTTTTGAAGAACTTGTGCATTTGTCTGAATATTACTGATAGGATTTTCTTTCCCCCCTCCCCCTGCTGAAGGCTCATTCAGACGATGAAGTATTCGGAAGGGGATTGGATGCTTTAGTTCAACTGAGTGCTGTTGTTGGCCCATCTCTTAATGATCATCTTAAGCATTTACTCACAAATGTAAGTTTTTAATGCTGTAGTGAAAAATCATCTGTATTTTTATGGTACTTTTGTTGAGATGTTTACGATAATATCTGCACAGATACAGTGGAGGACTCAGCAGTTCCATAAAAAGCATTACTTCATATATTCCTCTGTGTAAAAGTCCAGCATTTTTTAATAATATGGTGACCTATAAAGTTCTAGCAAGGTCCAAAAACTGTTGTTAACGTAAATTGGAGAACAATGGAAGTGTTGTCTCTACTATTTGAAAAAGATCCAGCTTCCAGCCTGAGGTGAAATAGATGCTATGTTTTGAAGGGAAGTTTATGTTTATTGCAAAATGAGATTTGCATTTTAAGTGTGAATATTTTTAAAAATCTGTGAAAGTTTCAATAAATTAACATAAGCAAATATTCCCACTTCTTTCAGGTGGGAATTCTGCACAAGGAAGTTTTCATTAAATAAACTTAGAGTGGGATTATGGGAAGTATTTTTATTCTGTGTCCTTCTGTAGACATCCTTCCTCTGTCAGACAGGCTTTTTGTGGTTTCATTTAGCCTGCTTCCACAGTGCACTTACAGCAAAATAAAAGGACCTTTTAGATATCTAGGGCAGAAGAGAGAAATTGCAGTAGTTCGGGGTTTTTTTAAAGTATTTCCACTGTAATAAATCTCTTTCAGTGCATGTGAAAAATGTGTTAACTTTTCATGTGAACAGCACTTTAAGAATAACTTTTTTTAGAGATTGATATGTCTTTAAAATTTGTTTGCTAAAAGAAAATAGAATTAAAATAACTATTTTTTTGGCTAACAGTTGAGCGTTCTTTGAATTTAAGTTTCTCATCGGTTAACATTTTATTCCTTTTGCCGTGACTGAGTTTCACACTTTGACATCAGTTACAAGCTATAAAGTGTTCTTTTAGGGTTTAATTTTCCAAAGACAAGATGAAATAAAGTAATAGCATACAATTATGTTTGCCTCCTTGCATATATTGTACTATATTTTGCAACAAACTTTTTTTATTTTTACTTTTCCAATAGCTTTCAAGGAGATTAATGGACAAGAAATTTAGAGAAAAAATTACGGTTGCTTTACAAAAGTTGGAGCAATATGGTGGAAAGGTGAGTTGACCAGATGATTATTCTGTAATCTGGACATTTGAGTACAACTTTGCCAAAACATCTTCCATCTCTGGCTTTCCAATTAAGAACCCCATTCTGAAAACTGCTTATTTTTACATCTCGCAGCTATTCATATTGCATAAAACGTAGGATTTTGCACTGCAGCAATCAGCACAGTTGTGTTCCCGTCCATAGTAAAACAGTTGTTTTAGTCTGATGTATTGTGTGGTGATAGAAATGACATTAAATCTACTCTGGGTGATCCATATTCTGCCAGTTAGGTTTTGTTGTCTCCCATTTTTTTTATCTCCCACTTTCCATTTGTATTCTCCATTGTTTTAATTGTTATAATCCATTGTTAAAATAATGAGTATGTCTCAATAAAATATTCCAAGACCTGCTTAAGAATCTGCATGGCTGGAGCATGCCAAGCCCCATTCAGGAGAACTCTTTGGGAGCAAGCGTGCATCTATGTGGATCGTTATCCATGATACTCGCTTGGAACATTTTGTTGTCCTTGGTGGGAAGCTTGTGTAGACAGTGGTTAAAAGAGATACTACTCTTTTTTGAAAAATCCCTATTTCTCTAGGAAGTCTAAATTCTTTTCCCAGGGTTTGAACTAATGTGATAAATGGGTTAGTAGCATAGGATAACATCCAGAAATGCCTAAGTACTTACTCCAAGTTAGGCATTGCAGCACTTAGAAAGTAGATGCTTATGCTGAATAAATCATGTAAGCTTCTTGTAGAGACCATAGGGTAGGCTAGATGCCCATAAAGAGCGATACAGGAATTCACCAAATGTCAACTGGTAAATAGCTCCTAGCCCCTTCTGGAGTATTGACACCTGACTCAGGCTGAATATTTGTCTTGCTTCAATATGCTTGGGATGCAGGCTTCGTGTTCCTTTTTCTGAGTCTAAATACTTCTCTCAACAGGATTTACTCTTGCTAAAAAGATACTTTTTGCTGTTATTGATGATGCCTGCCCATTCTTACTAATAGCTTAGTGTTTAGGTCACTTACTGAGGAAATCAGATACTCACATTTCCAGCCCATGCTGGTTAACCAGAGGTTAGATCTGCAATTGCTGTATATAAAAAAAAAAAAAAAAAAAAAAAAAAAAAAAATGCTTTAAGTAATAAATGGCAGAGTGTTCTTCTGCTGAATATTCTGTTGCCATTTTCTGTTGTACTGTGCAGAAAGAAGGAGAGAGCATTGGCTTGGATATTCATCTAGAATAGAAAATATTTGTGTTCTTGACCACTTGAACACTTGCATGTATTATATTAAATGGTCATTGGTAAAGACTAGGAATAACCTGAAGAGTAGGGACCATAAATATAGGCTTACCAGTTCTGAGCTTGTGCGCCTTAATTAGTAGGCACCCAAGACACCACTTCATCATTATTTTTTTTGGCTTTGCACTCATATTCATTTAAGGGCAGTAGCAGTGTTTGTATTACAGACTTGAAAAAGATCTTAACAAATAAAGCAGTGTGAGAGTTTTCTATTTATACGTAGTGAGGCAAGAAACAGAAAATTACGTCTCATTGTGATGTTCTGAAAATTTAGGTCTAGATAATGTAATTAATCCACTGAATAATTAACCTCTAATTCTTGTAGTCTTACCAGTTTTGCAAGTAGGTCTTTCTGTGTGTCTTTTAAAAATACTGTAATAAGATAAAACAGACAACTGGAAACAAACTCCTAAATTGTGATTACAAGCAAAACTGTATAATTGAACTAATGAATTTATCAAATTTCTGTTCTAAATGAGTTATAATGGATATGTCTCGCTTTTATTGGAAGTCCCTCCCAGAATATCACTCCTCTATTTAAAAAATCCTTATTATTTCATATCTATATTTATGCCCAGTTTTAGGTATGAATTTACACATCTGTCTCTTTTCTTGGACGCTTACTCTCCATCATTAGTTATCACAATGTTCCATTTTTTCAGTTCATTATTTTCATCCCCTTTGACAGTAAATTTCTTATCAAATATTAACTTTTTAGTTTTCTACTGTTTGATAATAACAGATAGCTAAGTAAAGGTTGTGAATTATGCAATTTATAGAGACTATATGAATATTCTCATATGTAGTGCTAGTGCTCCTTATTTTGTTTAAATTTGTTTTATTTGCATCAACAGGCAACTGTGACGATCATCAAATCTAAAATTCCAACCTATTGTTCTATCTCCTCTTGATCAAGAAAACTGTAGTGATTTGTACTGTAAGGTGAGGTTTGGAAAGAAACTGCCTGTTAACATCACTGACACTTAGTTGGGGTATGATATATTCTCTTATAATGATCACATTTCTTCAGTGTGATGGAGAGTGAGAAAAGTCCTATCAGTTTGTGAATATGTAAATAGGCAAGGCTATTTAAAATAATTCTCTCTGTATTGGCAGCTATTGGCATATGTATTGTGCTTACAATGATATTGACTAATTTGCTATTATTTCAAAAGCAGAGTAAATATTCTTATTTTGTTGTAAATTACAACTTCCTATAATAGATCTGCAGTGCTTAATATGTTTTGTACTTGTGTGATGCAAAATAATTTGGCTGTAATTACTTAAATAGTAACTAACTTGGTGTTAAATTGCGTACGTATACCCGCTTTTGAAACACGTAACTTAATTCGTGCCACAGGCACGGATGCATACAGTTTGGGTTTGTATTGGGCTAGATGTAGAATTATGAGACCTCATCTAGACTTCTTGAGAGTCAGCTTTCAAAAGCTGAATGCACTAAACAGGTAGCATATGGTGCAAACCTGAACTTTCTCAGTGCATTCTCAGCACATTGTTTTGAGAAGCTGGAGAGGCTCTGGAGAATGCGGTGCAGAGGCATCAGGTTGCTCCATAGAGCCACAGCCTCGGTTTGGCTTAGTTAATTAGTTCCAGTTAGCTTTGGACTTACTCAACGTGAGCTAGATGTAGGAGGCAACTTTGGAGTATTTACACCGTGCTCCCTTTGCATCGAGTTTAGCTTGTGAATTCAGCTCCAAACAAGCTAATAAACTTCTGAATGTGGAAGCTATGAAAAAAGACATGAGTTAAAGACAATAAAAAGATCGCAGAAGCCAGCTTACCTGGCTCTCAGGCCTTGTAGGGTGCGCTGTTTGTCCCTGAACATATTTGAACCTGATTGCAAAATAATTCCTAACAGGCCTTGTAATAAATACTGTTCAGGGTTCAAGTTGTTATGGGTATTTGAGTTGCTCTGTGAGGGAGAGCTGATGAAGCAACAAAATTTGCCATAGAACTTTTTACCCTGAGGAAAATTCGGTTCTGAAATTTAAAGTTGTTGGAAGGGTTGGTTGGGTTTTGGGGTTTTTTTTTTGTCATCAAAAGATGTTGTTGCATAGGGTATTAAAAAAGTCTGTCATGTGAAAGCAATTTCAGATTTTTTTTGAAAACAACCACTGCTTGGCTAAATTAAATTTACTTCAGGACTGTGCTAGGATCTCTGCTGAGATCAGAACTATGCTAAGTCAAGATATATGTATTTAAGCTTTTTTTTTAAAAAAAAAAAAATTACATTGGTTGGCAAAAAACATTTAATTTGAAGAAATTCAAGTATTTGTTTAACAACTCAAAAAATCGATCATACTGCTTGTTTTTCTTCATGTTTACTTTATTTTATTTTTTTACAAAATGTGCACAGTTAGTTTACACAAACACACTACAACAGATTTCAGGTGTACATGTATTGTACTACTCTTATCCTACACTGGTGATAGCAGAGCAGCCTTCAACATGCCTCTAACAACCCATCTCTACACCAGAATAGATACCTGATTTATTTTTTACAAAAGAATGCTTGCAACATTCTTTCTACTTCATTAATCCCCTTTCTGCAGCAATGTCACAAGATTGGCCTATCTCTGATAGCATTTCACCTATTTTGAATTATTGGCATAAACTCTGTAGATAATATATATTAAAAATTACATGGATGAGGAGGGCAGTATTATATTTTAGGTACATAGTTTTTTAGAAAAATCTTTCTAGGTTCAGAATTAAGGTAGCTCCAATCTTAATGAAGAAATGATCCTAAAAAAATGTAGTTCAGTTATCACATATAGATGATATTTTTCCAATTTTTCCTGGTTTTGTCTCCTAATAAGAGATATTACAAAAAGCTGAAACAGATGTTAGCCTGTCTAGCAGTTAGTAGTAGTAGATGTTACTACATAGTGATATTCATTCTGAGCTCTGAAGTGGGATGGAAGTTTCAAAAGAAGTTCATACCTTTTTCTTCATTAAAGGCAGAAAGACATGCACTCGTGAAAACAGTGTTAAGAGGCAGTTAAGGTTTTTTTATGAAAAGATAAAAGTCAGAAGATCCTTAATTTTAAGCAAAGAACTTTGCAGTCACATCCAAGAAGAATTAGAAATACAGTATGTAGGACTCCTAATATTCATGTTGTGATAAATTAAATGCAGATTTACTAGGTAAATGTGGTTGATAGAAACTTACTCGTATTTGTTGGGGAGTAAATCTACCTATAAGCAACTTCTTTTCTTGTTCTATAACAGTTCTTCCTCTCAAGTTATCTATTTTTTTAGGTTTGGGCTTTTGTTTGAAGAGAAAAGCAAGTCAAAGGTGGAAGGCAATTGCAGCAAGATGTGCATTGCACATTGATTATAGCACTTTAACTCAAAGTATTATTCAAAAAATGAGGTCTACACCATATAAATGTGAAAACAAAATACATGGTAATGCCTCTGTATAAATTAGAAGCTGAGATTTAAGAAATACACTCAAACACCTGGAGCTCAATCCAGTACAAATGAGCAGCAAAACTAAGAGTATTTATTTAATCTTTGTGTGACAGTATCTATTTTATCTAGGGCTTAGAATGATAATAAAGCTGCATAATGTCTCGTCTTATTTTGTTTGGGTCTGGAGTAAAAACCTGACTTTTCAGAACATTCTTGTTAACTAAGCAGCCACTGTTGAAGTGCTAAACTGTATAATTTAGAAAGGTGTTTTGGGGAAAAGTTTATAATAAAAAAATTTATTTGCATAATACATGTCTCAGTGTAAAGCTGAGTAATTTTATTTATGATAAAGTGGGAAATCCATCTTTTAGGTAATGTTGCAGAAAAGCTCGTATTTGTCCATTAGTTGTAGACCTAATGTCTTCATTAAATCACATTTTCAAAGAGCTGCATTGATCGCATTATATTCTCATCCTGTAAAAAAGACAACAAAAAAACAAAAATCATACACCATTAGAAATGTAGTTGGCAAATATCTACAGTGAAATTGGGTAGAACTAACTGTATTTTAGTTAATGACAACATTATTTTTCAGCTTGCTTGGAGAAATTGTTAGCAGAAAAAGACTTAATAGATCTATGCTTAAATAGATTTTTGTATGCGTTAATTAAACCAAAACTGTTCTCTCAAGAATGCAATAGCATGTTCCAGAAATGAAGTCTGCAGTATTTCTGGCGTTATGAGTTTATATCCAGTATAACAAAAGACACAGACAATAAATACTAAAGGCGTAACTGTTGTACCTGAAGTGTGAATCCGTACATGAAATCACTCATCCTGTGTGTCTTACACAGGAGCTTTTTTTGCAATTCTAGGGCATCCTATTGCATAGCTAGGGGTGACTCTAAAATAAAGTAGATTTAAGTGTGCATCTTTGTATGAACCAAAGAATCAGTCAGTTCTGTAAATATCACCGCAACACACTGACTCAGCTCAGATTTTTTGTGTGTTCACAATGAAAGACGTTGACTGCTTTCCAATGCTACTTCTGTTTTCTGATTGCTTTGCATTAGGTAGGTAAGAAAACCTTCTACTTCTTAGTTCTGCATAATGTTTACTGTTGCATCATTCTGTACAACAGTTTTTGTCAGTAAATAACTCAGCACAGCAGTCAGGAGAAAATAGGGGGTTTGATAGCATTTACCTTTCAGTGTATAGAAGAAAGTTTACTTTTAGTAGCCCATATTTGGTGGCACTTCTGGATCAACAGTTGATTGCACAATTCACTATGTATACAATACGAGAGTATGTTACGTGGTCATTTAGCATTTGCTGGTCTCCACTGTACTGATCCTCTTTTTCAATCTGAATGCACACCGTTTAGTACACTCTTGAGAGATAATCTAGCCACATTTAATTCTTGTGAATAAAAAGGCTGAATTTGATATATTTTAGGAAGTCTCATGAAAGAGGCATAAATCCCCCACGTCTAAGAAGGGTTATCTCATAGTATTCTCCACTACTGATAGGTATGTAGCCCTTCTGTACATTAGTGTTCCAATAACACATGTTCAGTATCAATTTCCAGTTAAATTATTCCCTGTTCAGTCTAGTCAGTGATGTGCTTTGTAAAAATGACAAGTGTGAGTAGTTTTCTTAATTTATGGTATGAAATGTGCACAGTGGGGTTTTCATCTTTGATTCTGTATGTCATCTCAAGTGATATTGCTGTAAGAAGTTATCTGCACGCTATTTTGTGCTGATTAACTTATGAACGCAATGATATGTAATTTCAAAAAAATATGTAGATTAATGCTTAAAAAGTTTGTATAGGAAATTTGCTATATTAAATTACTGGAAATTAAATTAAACTTTTCACAGCTGTGTTGTTTTGAAACATCAATATACGATTGAAGATCACTGACTAGTGTAAGGTTAAATTTTGGGTTTACAAGAATCATTTGTTACTTAATTATTTACAAATGTTTTTGTATATGCATTGGCACCTAAGCTTAGCAAATGTGCAAAGCAAACAACATGTTCTTAATTTAGAAACAGTGTTTTGACAGTTCCTACCAATTCTGTAATATATGTACCATCACTAATGAAACTATTAGTTTTCTAAAATCAGCTCCGTATTTCTAAAGTTTGCTGTTTCTATACATAAGACTACCAACGCCCTTCCTTTGGTCAGTCAACTGGGAAGAGTCTTCACAAGAAAATGCCGTCTTGTCATAATATTTGGAACATGGTGACTGTTAGTAGCTTTTTTGTCCATCTTAGAAAAATAAAAATCAGATGCTTGCATTAAAATTCTTTGGCAAGCATATCTTTCTCATTTGCCTCTTTTTTTAAGTACTTTTTTTCTAAATAGTTTTTTATAACAGATTTGTTTAATGATTCCTAACTGATGACATTAGGAGGCATAAGTGCACATGAAGCATAGTCCATATGAAGCCCAAAACATGGATGAATGAGCTTTGCCAGATCTGACCTAACTTCAAACCAAATTTGAGGTTTTTCCTACTGAAGTCTGAGACAGCTACTTTGTTACCAGGCTAGCCCAGACCCACCGGCATTGTATATGCAATGGCTTACTCCTGCGAAAAATAGCTGTCCCAAAAGCCTTTTTATCGTTATCAGAAGGCGCTTTAAGTCATCCACCCTGACATTCACCTGTGCGCCACCTATGCCTTAGTCCTTCGCCTCTGTTCTTCACGGTGCTGCTGTAGACACGATGCAATGTTTTCCACCAGCACCGAGCAGTGAGAGGAGGCACGGGAGGCACTGGGTAGTGCCCAGCCCTTGAGTTAGCCACGCTACTGTTTCCCAAGACCCATCTCTGCTATTTGGTAACTTTTAAAAAGCAGGACAGACAGCAGCCTCTTTCTGGGACTCGGTCCAGCATACTTAGGGCAGGATAGTCCATTTCTCCTGGAGAAGCAGGGAGACTCCTGGAGTTTGGACGGAGGACTGTCAGTCCAGCACGTGGGTATGTGGGGTAGGGATGGCAGGGGAATCAGGTCATATGCGTTCCCTGTCCAAGACAGAGGAAGGATGAGGGGAAGCACCTTTGCTGTCCTCACTTTATCGTGGCCAAAGATAGGTCCTTATACCCAGTAACCAGAGAAGACCATGATCAAGGCCTGGATGCTCTGTAATTCCCTACATAATTGCTTAACACTTTGAGAATGGACAGGCCATTCTTTGCATTGGGACTGTGAAATAAGAGTCTTGAACTTGCTGTGTACCTCAGGCTGTACAGTGCTACTGCTTTCATAGCTGTGCCAAACTGGTACTCGGCCCAAGGAGGCGATTTTAAAAATATAATGAGAGTTTTAAGAACACACCAGAGGCTCTTGATGCTGCAAAAAAAAATATCTCAGGAACCTGTCCCAGGAACTTGAAGTGGAGCCTCTGTATTCAAATATGCTCTGCAGTGTTCCTCCTTCCTCTTAAAGTAAGCATGCCATGCTTTCCTAGTTATGACAAAGCACCAGTAGAAGGGGTGCACAGTTCTGAGGGGCTGGAAACTCTTGCCCGAGACACCATTCAAAGAAAAGGCTCCTGCAGCCTTTCCCTGGCAGAACGGGTTTCTAGTCTGTTTTAAGATGCAGACTGCAGGGGATCTTAGCTTTCGAGTTTGGTTGAGGGTTTTTTTGGTAGTGCTTGTCTCTTGGCACTGTTCTGACTCTCATCTTACAGCTTGAGCCAGAGCCTAGGTGCTGGCAAACATGTCCTCTGCATACCTTTAGCACATTTTCAGATGCACCAGATGCTGGCTGCCATATTCCTCAATGGGCGTTCTCATTCCAAGGTCGGAGGTACAGTCATTTATTACACAAACTGGCAGGGAAGGTTTTGAGCAGACATGCTCTGATACAAGCCTCAACACCAAAGGAGGGTTTGTAGATGAGGAAGCCACCACAGCTGTCAAAGACAGGAGCAGCAGGTGTGCCATGCCCCTGTCCTGAATGTCCTGATCCTGGTACACCAAAGGTAATAGAACTAGCAGTGGTCTAGAGAGAGGGTCAAGGGTGGTTAGAAGTGTGGACTGATTTCCCTAGGAGGAAAAATTGAATAAATGAGTACTTTACAGCTCAGAAAAGAGATACTGAATGAAGGGCAATAACAATAACCACTGTTTTTCCATAACACAAGAACATATGGAAAACAAACATATTGCATGGCAGGTCTAAAACACAGGCAGATTTACTACAGGAAGGATCACAGGATCATTAGTTTTGCTTTTGGCATTGCTAAATGCTCATGAAATATAAGACTCTGTGCTTGATGTCACTCACTGCATGCTGAGGAAAGAAAGGAACCTGAACCTTACTTTTTCAGATCAGTCTTTTACCCATTAGAATACTAAAAAAAAAAAGGTTTTCCTACAGCTGCATCTTAAAAGAAAGCAGCCACTCTGCCCTTTGTGATAAACGTAATCCTGAAAAGGCTGAAGCCACGTTAACTCCTGAATCAAGTTTCTTGAAGAACTTGGATTGAATCCTAACCCCAAACCTCATTTCTGAAACCAAAGCTGGATATAAATGTGAATTACACACTTTACAGCTCAGAGGTCTTAATAGAAGAACAGGTCTTGACAGGTAGAGAGACTCCAGAGGGCTGTGCTGCCATGCAGTGTGACGTGGACAGGCTGGAGAGCTGAGCAGAGAAGAATCTAGTGAAGTTCAACAAAAGCAAGGGCAGGGTCCTGCACCTGGGGAGGAAGAATGCTAAGCACCAGTATAGGTTAGGGGTGGACCTGCTGGGAAGCAGTTCTGAGGAGAAGGATCTGGGGGTCCTAGTAGATAGTAAATTATCCATAAGCCAGCAGTGTGCCCTTGCCGCCAAAAAGGTCAATGGAATCCTGGGCTGCATAGGGAAGAGTGTTACCAGTAGGTCGAGGGAGGTCATTCTCCCCCTCTACTCGGCACTGGTGAGGCCACAACTGGAATACTGTGTCCATTTCTGGGCTCCCTAGTTCAAGGGAGACAGGGAAATACTGGAGAGAGTCCAGCGAAGGGCAACCAAGATGATTGAGGGATTGGAGCATCTCCCTTATGAGGAAAGGTTGAGAAAGACTCTTTAGCCTGGAGAAGAGAAGGCTGAGGGGAGACCTTATTATGGCATACAAGTATCTAAAGGGTGGGTTGAAGGAGGATGGAGCCAGACTCTTCTCGGTGGTTGATAGCGACAGGACAAGGGGCAATAGGTACAAGTTGGAACATTGGAAGTTCTATTCAAATACAAGGAGAAACTTCTTTACAGTTAGGGTGACAGAGCACTGGCACAGGCTGCCCAGGGAGGTTGTGGAGTCCCCTTCTCTGGAGATTTTCAAAACCCACCTGGATGCAGTCCTGAGTAATGTGCTCTAGGCAATCCTGCTTTAGCAGGGGAGTTGGACTAGATGATCTCTAGAGGTCCCTTCCAACTCTGAAAATTCTGTGATTCCGTGAAAAAATTAGATAGTGAGATACTTTTTGTATCAAAAAACATTGCCACCTTTGAAGTTAAAAGCAAGTGAAGGTGAGGTAAGCAGAAAGATGAGAACCGTGTCTCTGTCATGCAGCGGTTTAGACAGTGTCTCTCACATGTATTCTGAATATGCAGAAGAGCTAAATAAGAAATTTTCTAACAGAACTGAGAAACCGTGAATCACATTGGAAAAGGAGAGCCAGCAATTCGTTACTGAAGGTACTAATTTTCTTTGTAAATGAATCACTCAGCCCGTCACCATAATGGCTGTCAGATCCAGATTAATCTTTCATTTAATTTCCAGAGCTCTACAGACTTCAGCCAGGAAATAAATCTCATGTCTGTTTCTGCTGATTGCTCAGCTTTAGCAGAGGAAAATGCCTTTCATTCATATTGAACAAGACTGACAAGCTAGAACCATGGTCAATACAGTCGAGCACAGCTAACAGATAAGACACTACCCAAGACCCATTGCTAAGGATATACAGAACAGTCACAGTTAGAAGAGCTGTTGTCTTTCTTTCATCCCCCAAAATCAGTGGATTAAAATCAGTGGATTAAAATCGGAGAGTCACTAGATACCTGTGCTCATGAGAGCAATGCCAAAGAATAACTACAAATGCATATAAAAATGTTCCAGCTCTCGAGCATCTTTGCTATTTCCTATTCAGCTTTCCCTATTCCAAGTGGTTATACATCTATCACTCACTAACTGCATTTATCTTGCTAGTCTTGTTCTCTCCTGTCTCTTGACTACTACTCTCTTTTTGGTATAGGAGATAGGAAGCCATACACACAGGCTCTATTGCTGGTCTGTGTCAGGTTCATATTAATCGGAGTCAGCCTGGGGAAGACTGAGGTATCAGCAGAATGCTACTGTTCTCTGTATTTCTCACCATAACAAAAAGCATTCGTTTTATTTGCCACATCATTTTGCATAATGTAATCAAGCCTATCTTATAACTAAGTCTAATGTGACACTTTAAGGTACATAATAACCTCTTATCCCACCAAAGGCTTGTCATCATTATTTTGTACTATATCATGTTTCTTTTTCTTGTATTTTCTAACTGACAAATTAACAGCAGTTCCTTAAATTTCCAAAAATACAACTTATCTTTCCTCCTATCGTCTCCTGGTCAGAGCAAGCTGGTTTCGAAGGGCAGAGGAGTAAAAACAGGCTGTTTGTCCTGCTGCAGAAGTTCATTCTCCTTCCTGGCTCAAGAGGCAATGAGCTGTTTTCAGCCATTGAAGGAAATTAACAGCCACCTGGGTAGCATAAACACTTGCAACTGATAACCACAATCAGTTTTCACTCCTTCGCCTGGAGAAAACTTGCCTGCTGTTAACTGCTGCCATCCAATGCTTTTCAAGCTCCTTACACTCCCCCTTTTTAAGGCCTCCAGCAGGTCGTGACTCAGTGTTTGAGCAACACTCCCATAGATGATAAATTTTCACGCAATATTATTATTATTGCTGTGACT